ACAAATAACTGGCACTAAAGAGATGATTTCCCTTACATGATTCATAATTCTAATACAAAGTTTTTCTATCAGATTTAGTTCTACCAAGCACCTTGCTACTATCTAGTTATAGACTACACCAACTTGGTGAACAATGCGATAGCTAGATCCATGGTTGGGAGGAGATAATTATAAGAGGAAGTAAGTTACAACGACAATTAATGAACTCAGTTAATTGAATTCAAGTACAATTTAATTTGTAAAGTTAACCGACAACAGGATGGAAAATGGTGGATCCTCTTTTAATCTAGACCTTTGATCCCCACTTAAGCAAAGTCATCGCAAGTGCCCACCTCCGTGTATCTCTTTGTGATGTCTTCATGGAAGGTGTCAGAGTCTTCATGCATCTGATAGTCCACAGATTCTGACAATTGCCTCAATGTGAAGAAGATCCTCGTCCTCAAGGACCTGTAATGCAAACCAAGAGCGACTAGTTTGGTTGAAGAATTTGTAAAACATGAAGTCGGTGGAGTTAAGAGTCTTCTGAAGTGGCCTCTTTAAGTGACATCTTCAGCCATTAGACTAGAAGTTGAGTGACTCAATGTGTGGTACTGCTTGAGTGTTCAGTTCCAGAATATGAGCCATTTTGATCTTCTCATTTGGATCAACAAGAGGAAGCCCATGGGTTGGTACTACATTTGGACCGATATGTTTCTTTAGGCGGCTAATATGAATGACATTATCTATGTGTACACCATCTCAGAACAGAAGTTTGTATGTTGTACTTTCCACTTTTTGTATAATTTGAAAGGGGCCATAGAACTTGGTTGCGAGTTTAAGAATAGTGTGAATGCCAAATGTTGCTACTTTGTATGGTTGCAGTTTTAAGTATACCATTTCTTTCACGTTATAAGACCTATACGGTCTCATTCTATTACCATATTTTCATTCTTGCTTATTGATGACCCGCAAGTGTAGGTGCTAAATTTTAGGTCTTTTCAAAAAATAAGAGTGTGGTCCCAATGAGAAGCACAAGTAGTTAGTGCATCGAAATCCAGTCAGGAATTACGAGAAGAAGCAATAGTTGTTCGCCTGTTTATTGAATGGTCGCAAGAATTGACAGAGTGGTGAATGTAAAAGAGTGCAACAAGTGCACAATCCTTAATTAAGCTACGAATAATCTTGTTGGGTCTCTTATGTGGACTAAATCATTCTTGAGGACAATTAGAATATGACCTAGTTGTTAAGTTCATAATTGTTTGCATTAATTCTTATTGTTTGATTGCCACTGGAGAATTACACCACAACATACAACATCAATCTTTATTGAAAAACCATACGACTCTTAATAATAGGCTTTCTCACGGTAGCCATAGGACATGGTTTCAATGTCATAGTTCCAAGTGGCGGACACCACTTCCTGGAACCCCTCAATGAATTGTCATTTGCACGTAAGCCTCAAATCTGAACTAGTGGTAGGTTTTCACATTATCATTAACAAGGAGGAGTGGTTAGTGATAAGATATAGTAGTGGATTAGAGTAGCAATTTGGTAGTCGAGAAGCACAACCCCAATCCACATTATAGAAAGCATGATCCAAGTTGACAAGAGTTGGGGGACTGCTCATTATTCCATCTGAAGCAGCGACCAATCAAAGGAATTCCATGGAGTGCCAAGGAGTTCAAAGCACGATGGAACCTGGCCACCCAACTGTGACATAGATTGTTGTTGTTCTTGTCCTAATTACTAGAACATAAAGGTCGCAGTAGCAGCTAGAACATGTCTGTAAGTAGAAATATACAATGCAACCGTCCCAGCGGGACAAGATTTCAGACTGGGAGATACAAAGTAGTCGCTTGATTGGCGACTAAGGGCATACATGATCTTTTAGGAACTAATCATTAACATCTAGATGGGTGATGAGGCGCGGATCACGATGTCTATGATCTCATGGCCAAAAGCTCCTCCAAGATTGCTTGCAATTCAGCACTAGGCAAGCAGAGTTGCGAAGGAGATGCCAGACATGTAATCTTAGCTAGATTTTCTGCATTAGTCTTTGGCATCAGATTCTTGAATAACTAGATCTAGGTCATCAATGAATCCTCATTGAAATCCTCATAATGCTCGATTATCCCCAATTGGGTGCAGATTTGCACCTGGGAGCGTCTCAAGGATGAGAATTTGTAGTGCATATTTAGAAGATGGGCGCTCCGCCTTTCCCCTTTTCATGCACTAAGCATCCTCTTCATTCGCGGGGTGCGGGTTTCAGCAACAGTGGGCGTGCCAAAAAACGAAGAGGACAACAATGTCGTGATATTTGCAAAGAAAGCTTTTTGGTATTCTAACTGCAATGCTGCGACTCTTGTAGTGATAGCCTCGATCAATGTCACCCCTAATAGGTTAGTAGTAGCCAACACAAGTCATGCCATTTGTTCCTTGATGGAGCAAAATGGGTCGGACTTGCTACACAATCCAGGCCTGGACCCATAAGGAGCAGCAAGAGAACGAACCACGGGCCCGTAGGGTTGGGGATGAGAGAGACCTAGGTCCACAAACAACCTCGGGCCCTAGCGAGGCATGCCATGCTAAAAGAGGCATCTCAAAAGCACATGACTTCAAAACAAGTGACCACTGGTAAAGTCCATGAAACAACGACTACATCTCCCAAGGTTGCATTATGTCATGCTACATAGAGGGCGGCAGAGGGGGGAGTGGTGAAGTACTAGAGGATGCTCTGTCGAAGAGAGACAGATGCTTGACCCAGATATACAACCAGTATCAGCAATCCCAAAGTCATCCCAGCCCCCAAAGATGTTGGGCAAGAGAGGTGTCTAAAGGTGTTGTGATGATTACAGCGGCAAGGTCCCATAGATGAGCAGACTAGTATCCCCCATCATGTTTTCTTGTTGGCCCCGGAAAGTAATAGGCACAAAATGTTGGTGCAAAAGGCCTTGCTCAAACTCACCAATCTGAGCAAGTTGCACACTGGGCGAAACTGAAGAGTTGAGCGCATCAGTAAGCTCATCTCTCCAACTATCGAGAGATGCCCTGGATCGATCAACGAGCTGCTGGTAGCCCACCTCCAACATGGTGAGTTCACGCAGCCTAAGATGGGAGAGACTCTTTGACATTGTTATCGGCATTGTTTGTGGGCTTGAGTACCTTCATTTTTGGTGTAACACTCGCATTAAACATTTCGGTCTCAAACGGCAAAACATTATGTTGGATGGATACTTCGACCTCGGATATCTTATTTTGGCTAGCAAATGAGAAGTGCAATTTCTGTTGGTGGAGCAGGAGGAATTGTCGGGTACATAGCACCCGAGGGGTTGCTACCTCCTTGTACTTGTATTAGGCGTATTATAAGTGAAAATTGTAAGGAAACTTAGACAACGAAGACTGTAAATTGTCAAATGTGCCTTGCATTTTGAGAAAGGGGGGGGGTAATATGGAGTGTTGAGTAGCAAGTCCAATGTGTACGATTACATGATGATGGTTCTTGAGTGGGACGAGGGAAGAAAATTAGTATTAGTAAAGAAAGTAGCACCCAAAAAATTCCTTGAAGTATATATTGTAACTTGGATGATTTTTGTGGAACTGTCGACAAAATTATTAATAACGATGCCACAAAGATGGTGGGGAAGGTGACCATAGTTGGGCTCTAGCAATGGCGTAGCCAACATCGAGTCGAGCCCAGGACAAGCCCCAGACCAAACATGTGCTACATTGTTGAAGGTGCTACACTCGATTAAGGAATCTGGTACCACGGCCCAGGCAACTTGGAGCCTGCCTATGCCTTTGGGCCCTAGTGCATACAGTTGTCGACAGTGTTTTCGAAAGTAACACTCATGGATTTCTGTGAGAGTGGGACGTAGCCTTAGGTTATTGAACGCACACGGGCCCGGGTTTTACCCAGGTCTAGGCCCTTGCAATGTTAGTAACAATCTTAATTGGAGAGAGGGAGAGAGGAGAAGAAAATAGTCTGGTGTACGTACCTCCCGCTTGCACACAATCTGGGGAAGGATCCAATCACTTTGATCTCTTATGAAGGAAGATAATATTTTTTTTTCTATTGTACAAGATGTCTTGTCTTACTCTCGTGTCCTTCATTGTACGGACGGATGTATTTTAGAGTGTAGATTCACTTATTTTGCTCCGTCTATAATCTCTATTAGAATATCTAAAAATACTTCTATTTAGGAACAAAGTGAGTATTTATGAACACTAAAATATAACACTTAAGAAATAATAAATTGTATAGCATGTTTTATTTATTTTCTGTTTTGTTTGATAGCTTAGTTGACTTGCCGTCTGGTGTATAACATGTTTAATTATCTTTTCTAGATGACGTGGACTTCATACATAAGAAAAATGCCAATCCCCGCCATCCATGCTATTTTTTTAGAAGAACTATCCATGCTCCTACAATGAGCAATGTTACATCTACCTAAATATTTTTGTGTACGGGTGAGCTAACGTGGAAAGTTCTGTTTGAAGAAGAACAGGGGCCTCACCCGCTGAAATTGAGGGGGTTGGGGGAGATTGATTAGGGATGGAAAGTTTCTTAGGCTTTGGTGGCACGCTTGTTGGTCTAGCATTCTAGTGTGCCCTATAGTTCAATGGAGCACAATCTTGCAATATAAATTAATTGATCTCCATGCTAAACACTGCCAATCCTAGCCAAGAATGCCAAGTGAGTTTCCTTCTCCAATACAAGAGCCAAATTAACCGGTAAATAATATAATATTGTAAATAAATAAATGGCACAAGAAAAATATCTCGGCAATAGAGTCACTTGCATGAAGACGCTACAGATAATGTAGTAATGTATTACATGTTGAGTGCAAGAACATGATTAATCATTTTCATCAAAACTCATGATAAATAATAATCATAACGATCCAATAACATATAACTAGATTAAATCTAGAGAAGTTGTTCTTTCCTCGTCATCCCTAGAAATTACCAGATCGACACACCACATGACATAAAAAATCCATCTGCGCGCAGGGGCCGGTAGATCACGAGTGCAGGAACCCGTTGCCGTCGGCGACGGTGTCATCGAACGGCCCGCGCGGCTCGAGCTGCCTGCACATCTCCAGGAAGGCGTAGTAGAGGACCCGGTTCTTGGCGCCGGTCCGGTGGCGGCCGGTGTTCTTGCAGAAGTACTTGAGCTGCTCCAGCGTGCAGCAGCCCAGCATCTGGCCCAGCAGGAGGAACAGCCAGTTGATCTCGCCCTTGTCCTCGGCGATCCACGGCCACATGCATCGCTTCTCCCCGCACGCCGCGCAGTCGGGCAGCACCGGGTACATCCACGCGTCCGGGGCGCGGTCGTCGAACGAGTGCCGGTTGGCGACGACGAACTCGCGCACCTCCCTGAACTTGGGCGCCAGCTCGTACGCCACGGTCGCCGTGCCGCTGCAGCGCTTGCACCGGCCCTCGCCCTCGACGGTCGTGACGCCCCGGCGCAGCAGGCTGTCCAGGGTGTCGTGCCGCGCGGGCCGCTCCGTGGCCCACGGGAACGGGGGCGGCGCCCCGTCCGCGGCGGCGGCGTCGTCGTCGGAAGGCGGCTCGTTGCTCGCGCGGCGGCGCTGGCCGGGGGCGGAGGCGTTGAGGCGGCGGCGGGTGGCGGACGCCGGCTTGGAAGGTGGAGGGGTCGGAGGAGAGGGGCGCCGCGGCTTGGGCGGCGGGGTCGGGGCGGCGGCGTAGATGGATCCGAGGGTGAGGGCGACGAGCGGGTCGTCGAGGCCGACGGCGTCACGTGTCACGGCGGCCTGCGCGTCCATTCTCTCTCACAGCCCCCGACCCAACACGACCAAGCGCTCGTCGCTGCTGCTCTGTGTGGTGGTGACCGGGCGTGACAATGGCGAGGGGTTTGGGGGGTTTTATGGCTGGCTTTATGCTCCTCCCCATGGCAGTCGAAAAACCTGGCGATGGTGAGGCGAGGTGGTTGGTTCTAACAACCACGCGAGAATCTTTTGGACATGCAAGACACGATTGTCTTCCGACCATTTCTCTGGCTTATCTATCCCACTTTTAATTACTTCGATCTTCCTCTTGTCTAACAAAAAGGCATGTTCAATTTATCTCTCCTCCGCGGCGTCCTTGGTTGAGATGGCAACTATAGGTCGGACGAGACCTTGGCCCCGGGTGTCAGTGAAGAATGGCTGGGATTTCTTTCCTCGTGTCCCGGATGTTGGTTCGGTCGACCCGACCCCACTGGCTGGCCCCTCGCACTAGCAGGCAATGCGTGTCTCCGTAATGATTATCCCGTGGAGGTGGATCTGCGCCTGCCTTTCTGTTGCCGGCTGCCGCGGTGACGTTGGAAATTGAGGATCTCTTATTACAACCGACTTGCCGTGTTTTGCGTCCGGCTAGCTCTCGCACCGACATGCATGCCCGCACCTTGGGCGAACACCCTCTCTGCTCACGGAACAAAAATCCGGTGCACCAGATGGATATGTGCACCCACTGCACCGGTGACATGGTTAAGGGCATCTCCAGCCGTTGAAGCCCCTCCAGGACAATCGCCGGACCAAAAAAGGCATGTCGTGGGGGCAAAACTCTTCCGCCGGCGCCCCCAAGAATCCGCTTCCCCAGCCGTTGGTGTCCTCACAAGAATTGCGGGGCAAAAAGTGATTAGGTGGCAAGGAAAAAAACGTGTGGGGGAGTAGGATTGGCCGTTGCTTCCGCCGGCGCCCCCAACAGCCCCCTAGCGCGCTGGGTTTGGCCTGGGTTCGCCGGCGGCATTTTGAGGTCGTGGGGGCGCTTGGGGGGCACGGCTGGGCCATTTTTTGCCCTTTTTGCATCGCCGGCAGAGAAAAAAGGCTCCTGAGGGGGGCACTCGGGGAGGCGGCTGGAGATGCTCTAACATATAGGAGTATTCGTTTAATGGCATATTTACCATAATATCTTGTGTTCTTATTAAAAATAAATAACACCAAGCGGCCAGCTTGGTAAGCTACCTACAAAAAATTGCAATCAAATATTAAAAATAAATAACATGCACTTTGTCTTCTTGGGATTTTGCTGTGAACCCAATTTTTGGATACAAAACTAAGTTTTTATATCAAGTTTTTTTTTGCGATTTAAAGGGAGTTTTATTGCATTGTCACGGTGTTGCAATCAAGAGGTCACAAATCCTCGGTACAAGGTGGAACCGAGTTTACCCACACAGCCGTGGTTCTTTTGGAGGGGCTATAATTGGCCAAACAATCTGAAACACTATTCTGACTACAGTGAAGTTTTTGAGGAAAAAACTCCCTAACACTCATGAGCTCCTTAATCTCAAGGACTAGCTGAGCATACGCTGATCTGTTGAGGCAATCAGTTGACAGGGAAGATAGAGCTGCAGCCGAGTCGGACTGCACTACCACCGGAAACGATGAGTGTTGTATAGCCAAAGCCATACCTTGCATGAGGGCATGAATCTCTGCTTCCAGTGCATCGTTACAGTTAAAAATGTAACGGTAGGCTACAAACAACACTGTGCCAGTATCATCTCGTAGAACCATACCCGCTACCGCAGTCCCATCCGACACCTGGAAGGATCCATCAACGGACAAGGCGACAGTACCCCTCATAGGTGTGGGCCATGGGGCGACGGGGTGTTTAGTATTTGCTCCTGGGCCAGGGTCTGAGACATTCATCTTGCCTTTGATTATCTCCTCTGTGCTAAAACATCCAACAAGCTTAACAGACTTGTAATAACTATCAAGAAACTCCACTGTCACATCCACTCGTGGTGTTTCCTTCCCATGAGTTGTATCAGTCCGTAGTTGCCAGATACGCCATATCAATATAATCACCATATCCCGAACATCATCTGAACAGTTAGCAAGTAGGTTCAGCAACCATTCTTTGCCTGAATTAACCAATATCTCATCTGGTGGCAGGGGCCAACGGGCTCCCATTCCCAGCCAGACGAGCCGGGCGTGATCGCATGTAACCAGGGCGTGAAAACCGTCCTCCTCTTCTATTCCACATAATGGACAAGTAGAGTGTTCAGATATATGTCTGTATTTTTTGCACGAAGCCGTAGGCAACACACCTGCCACTACTTTACATGCCGTGATCTTCATCTTCTATGGCATCGATGACTTCCACACACTATTCCACAGAGATCTCGTGTCGTCGGGTGCCAAGGAGGATGCCCCTCCCGCAAACACCAAGTTGTGATCACATGTAGCCAATATATAGGCACTCCTAAAAGAAAACTGTCCAGATTTCTCAGGACACCATGAGATAAAATCACCCCGCTGCCTTGGGGAAGTTCTAATTTTCAGAATAAAGTCGATATCCATCTGCCATAAGTTTTGCCTCAAACGATCCAACCGTCATGCACCGTTCTCATCTAGGAAATCTGAGACACAATTCAAACGGGACGTGCGCCTTGGCGTAATAGGGCGGAAAGAAGAAGCTCTTGGGATCCAAGGGTCCCTCCAGGTTCTGATCGTGGCACCATCCCCTACACGCCATATAATGCCCTTCTTGAGTAAGTCTAAACCATGCAGGATTACTGGCCATACTGCCGACCCGCTAGTAGGAAGGATCGTATCAAGTAGATGTCCTGAAGGAAAATACTTTGCCTTCAGTAATCTAGAACACAGGCTATCCGGTGAGCAGAATTGCCATGGTGATATTTTTATGCAGAAATAAAAGTTCTTGGAATGGCCTGAAAATCCACGGAGACATGTTTTGGAATTAATAAAAATACTGGCGAAACAATCAGCATCAGGGGGCCCACACCCTGTCCACAAGGGTGCAGGACGCCCCCTGGGGCGCGCCCCCTGCCTCATGGCCCCCCTGAGACTCCACCGACCTCAACCCTGACTCCATATATCCACGTTCGGGGAGAAAAAAATCAAAGAGAAGGATTCATTGCGTTTTATGATGCGGAGCCGCCTCCAAGCCCTAATCTTCCTCGGGAGGGCTGATCTGGAGTCCGTTCGGGGCTCCGGACAGGGGAATCCGTCGCCATCGTCATCATCAACCATCCTCCATCACCAATTTCCTGATGCTCTCCGCCATGCGTGAGTAATCCCATCGTAGGCTTGCTGGACGGTGATGGGTTGGATGAGATTTACCATGTAATCGAGTTAGTTTTGTTAGGGTTTGATCCCTAGTATCCATTATGTTCTAAGATTGATGTTGCTATGACTTTGCTATGCTTAATGCTTGTCACTAGGGCCCGAGTGCCATGATTTCAGATCTGAACCTATTATGTTTTCATGAATATATGTGAGTTCTTGATCCTATCTTGCAAGTCAGTAGTCACCTACTATGTGTTATGATCCGGTAACCCCGAAGTGACAATAATCGGGACCACTCCCGGTGATGACCATAGTTTGAGGAGTTCATGTATGTCGGATTTCGGGTTCCGTCAGACCCTTGAGGTTCGAACACCCCGGGAGGTATATGGGCCTTAGTGGGCCTTAGTGGAAGAGAGGAGAGGTGGCCAGAGATGGGCCACGCGCCCCTCCCTCCCTTGGTCCGAATAGGACAAGGAGAGGGGGCCGGTTCCCCTTCCTCCTCTCTCTCCTCTTTCCCCCCTCCGTGAATCCTGTTCCAATTAGGAAAGGGGGGGGGAGTCCTACTCCCGGAGGGAGTAGGACTCCTCCTGGCGCGCCTCCTCTTGGCCGGCCGCCCCCCCCCCTTTGAACCTTTATATACGGAGGCAAGGGGCACCCCTAAGGACATAAGTTGATCCACGTGATCATATTCTTAGCCGTGTGCGGTGCCCCCTTCCACCATAGTCCTCGATAATATTGTAGCAGTGCTTAGGCGAAGCCCTGCGACAGTAGTACATCAAGATCGTCACCACGCCGTCGTGCTGACGGAACTCTTCCCCGACACTTTGCTGGATCGGAGTCCGGGGATTGTCATCGAGCCGAACGTGTGCTAGAACTCGGAGGTGTCGTAGTTTCGGTGCTTGATCGGTCGGGCCGTGAAGACGTACTACTACATCAACCAAGTTAACGCTTCCGTTGTCGATCTACAAGGGTACGTAGATCACACTCTCCCCTCTCGTTGCTATGCATCACCATGATCTTGCGTGTGCGTAGGAAATTTTTTGAAATTACTACGTTCCCCAACAGTGGCATCCGAGCCTAGGTTTTATATGTTGATGTTATATGCATGAGTAGAACACAAGTGAGTTGTGGGCGATATAAGTCATACTGCTTACCAGCATGTCATACTTTGGTTCGGCGGTATTGTTGGACGAAGCGGCCCGGACCGACATTACGCGTACGCTTCCGCGAGACCGGTTCTCCCGACGTGCTTTGCACATAGGTGGCTTGCGGGTGACAGTTTCTCCAACTTTAGTTGAACCGAGTGTGGCTACGCCCGGTCCTTGTGAAGGTTAAAACATCACCAACTTGACAAACTATCGTTGTGGTTTTGATGCGTAGGTAAGATTGGTTCTTGCTTAAGCCCGTAGCAGCAACGTAAAACATGCAACAACAAAGTAGAGGACGTCTAACTTGTTTTTGCAGGGAATGTTGTGATGTGATATGGTCAAGACATGATGCTAAATTTTATTGTATGAGATGATCATGTTTTGTAACCGAGTTATCGGCAACTGGCAGGAGCCATATGGTTGTCGCTTTATTGTATGCAATGCAATCGCGCTGTAATGCTTTACTTTATCACTAAGCGGTAGCGATAGTCGTGGAAGCATAAGATTGGCGAGACGACAACGATGCTACGATGGAGATCAAGGTGTCGCGCCGGTGACGATGGTGATCATGACGGTGCTTCGGAGATGGAGATCACAAGCACAAGA